GTACTTTAGGCTATATTTTGAAATAAAAAAAAAATAAAAAAAATTGGTCGAAGTTACTAAAATTCTGATTTGATAAGTTTATTTCCGGTTTTGTATATTAAAAAAAAATAAAAAAGCCCGTCTTATGTTGTATTTAAAAAGAACAGTAAATTTTCTATTTAAGTCGCCATATTTAATATTTTAAAATAAATTTTTTTAATTCGAAAAACTATTTCCAAAAAATACGAATTTCAATAACGACAATTCTTTAGAAGCCAATAACTTTACAATTAAACATCATACAAAAAAAATATTGTGTGTCCACATTCATACCTACTATAAGTACAATTAAGCCAAATATGAACAAATTTCAGAACGTCACTTTTTTTTCGCTGTCCACTTCACGTGAAATGCCCCATCAGTGACCTCAATACCACATGTTGCCAAATTTGAGCAATATCAGAATTTTTTTTTAAATACCCGCCATAATGGATTTGCTCTTTTGTTTTTAGAAGAAAAATGGATTTTATTCGTAATCAGTAAAGAGAGCCACTTATTTTTTGTTGCAAAACATACACACGACGTGACTTGACTACGTGAGCTTTATACAATTTACGCCGGCCAAAACTATAGATCTTCGAAGCGCGCTAGAGTAATATTGCTAAAAAGTTGCCACAGTATTGCAAGGCAACACAAGATATTAGTTAAATGGTAATGTTGCAATGTAGCAATATCGCTGTAACGTTGCAGTAATATGTGGTGCTGGAGGAGATAATGCAATATCATGTTTAATAAATTTTCGGGTGTGTTAAATTCATTGTTATAGTAGTCACAAAAACTAAAAAAATTCAAATTAATATCTGTTCAATAGGTTCACCAAATAAATTCTTAAAGTTGTAATTCCTATAAATAGGGTTTTGAGAAACATTAATGTTTCTAAACCCAGCATTAATAGTATATTACACTACAAGGGCAGAAAGTGTGAGATTCCTGCACTGCGCGCCATGATTCCCGAGGCGAAGCCGAGGGCATCATGGCGCGCAGTTCAGGACTCTCACACTTTCTGCCCGTGTAGTGTATACTATTTTTCTTGCTACCCCACAGAAAATACGGGAAAAAATTAAATGTATATAAAAAAACTTGTGTCAAAATTAAAATCTGACGTTTAATTTAATTCTGACGTTTACATTCAAAATCAATCAAACTGTAGCGTTGTCATGGTAATTCAGCGGTGCCAATACAGTAAAAATAAAAGGTTGTATTTTAATTAACAAATTACTACTTTATAATAAATAAAAGTACCATTAAACACTTAAAACAACATAAAAAGTAAAAAAGTAAAAACATAAATTGTTTATTTGTTGTTATAATTGCAAAATTATGGTTTAAAACTGTCATATTTTTGTGTTTCTCATGTTGGCAGTACGAAATTTGAATGTTAAGCACACGACTAAAAAATTTTTACTCCCGCTATTAGAGTGTGCGCGTATATCTTGACCAATGCAAGAAACGTAAACTTTCTGCCGTGAAATTGGGGACGAAACAACGTATTTTGAGTCGAGGTGGAAAGAAAAAATTATTCTGTTACCAAACATAATTATGTTAGGTAACAGACTAATTTTTAATGCTGGTTTAACCAATGGAAAATTTTTTAATCTCACCGAACCCTCTACAAAAGTAATAACCAAATCCAATAAAGGATTGTTATTATTTAGTATTAGGTTTTGCTGTTTAAGCCCAGAAAAATTATCATATAAAATCACCGGCAAAAAAATCGGCCACCGAAAATTTGCCAGAATTTTAATGTTGATTCCTCGCGAACCGCTCACCTGATTTTAATGATTTTTATTTGAATTTTTGGTTTAATCTTCAGTTACGATGCTAAGATAAACAATGTTTTTTGATTTTTATTTGAGCATATATAGATAGGGTATATATAGGGTGCAAAAGTAGTGTCATATTTCAAAAAAACTGACATCCGTTCCAGCGTATATCGACTCTTTTTGCATGCGAAAACTTTATCTGGTGCGTTTGCTTTAAAACTTCAGAGATAATAACGTAAAGAAAAAACAAAATGTTTAGAAAAGAATTTTTATCTGATAAGACTATAGTATAATTTTAATTAACATTTGCTATTATTGATGTTGCTCCCCAAAGGATAGGCCCGTTCCTGGGGTGTCTGGCGCCTACGTGCAGCATTCGTTGGTGCGCCCCATATATTTAAATATAATACATTAATTATTTTAATATATATTTGCGACAAACTGGCAATAATAAATTGAAAATGTAAAAAAGAAACGTTTTAATTAAGTATAATTTTTTTTTATTGAATTACCACACAAACAAAATCCCAAAAAAAATTCTGTGATAAAATACAAAGAAAACAAAAAAATAATCTAAACAATATAATAACTACAACTGGTTTTTAGTGACGTACTCTCTAAAAATGAATTTGTCAAAAATGACTAGTTTTGGAAGTAAAAAAGCAGTCACTAATAACTTTAGTCCACAGCAATTTGTATCCCGGACATTTAGTAGCTTATTATTATGTAAAATTGTCCCTTGAATCAGAAAATGCCGTTAAAAATTATGAAAGTAAAGAAGTTTTTAAGATATAGTCAATTTCATATTATATGTAAAATTTACTAAATCTCAGAAACGTTCTACTTTTACAACTTTTTACATTTTTGGATTCAGCGGACAATTTTACATGGGAGTTGACTGCTAAATGTCCGGGATACAAATTGCTATTGACGATAATTACAATAGTTTACACCCACCACAATAGTGCCCACCATGTCTCACTATGATTTTCTTGTGTAGTTTGGCCCACTTAAGGTCGAAAATTTTTCATAGAAGCGTTTTCGAGATATCAATTTTCAATTGTTTTTTTTTTAATTTTATTAGATTTTGACGTTTTAGAGTATACTTCAAGTTCTAATTGATCGATTTGACCAAACAAGCACTTAAATCAAAGGTAGGTAATTGAGCCCCCTACAACTTTCTCTGGTATAGTTTTGGTATCGGCCCAGTAGTTCGATGCTAGCGATTTTATTTAGTTGAAACAAAAATCCAGGTCGAAAATTTACATATCTTTCTGGGAAAGAAAGAAATCAAAAAGATAAGTCCAGTTTGATTAATTTTAAGTATAGATAATACCAAAAGGAAAAAAATAAGCTGCTGTTTTTTTTGAGAATTTTTATATAATATAAATTAAACATTAAATATTGAAACTAAATTATATATTAAAAATTGATCATTAAGGATATTGAAAGGTTTATTTTGTTGTAATAAGAATAGGTTTTAAAAAAATCTGTCTCCATTGTTTTTTGTTGCTTTCGTACTCCATTTCTCAACAAAATTTTATTAAAGAATAAACATAGGTACCTATTATAAAATAAAAGAAAAAAAACTAAAAATCGTCAAAAACTTGAATATTGGTCTTTCACTAAAAAATTCGCCATTTTTCCATGGATCAACATTATCTTGTTTTTTTTTAAATGTCAGCGTTATCTGTTTGATTTAAACCTTTAAATTTTCGACCTATCCGATATCAAAAGTATGTAAAAGAAAGTTTTAGAGGGCTCAAATACCTTCAATTTAAGGGCTTGTTTGACCAAATCGTTTAATTAGATTTAAAGCTATACTCAAAAACGTCAAAACACAAAATTGAAAAAAAAAACATTTGAAAATTCATATTTCAAAAACGAGTGTGATTTTTGTGTTTAGTGGGTCAAAATGGGATATGGTGGGCAGAATTTTTTTTCAATTTTGTTAGTTGTTTTTAGTTTTATTAGTCGCTGATTTTTCGCTATAGCAATTAGACTAATTGAATCATTTTTGACTAATTCCTGTTTTCAAGAGTATACTTTTTAAAGTAGAATTAGTCAAAAATGACCAATTCAATTAGTCATTTGTCAAAGAGCAGCGACTAATAACAGCTTATAAGCTCGTTACTGCAACTATCAAACAAATACTAAAAATAATATGACCATTTCTCTCCTTTTAGTTTGATCCTCATATCAAAGCGGCAAAAGGCGCTTTATAGGGGCCGGCGCAAAAAAAAGGCGGTAACCTTTATCCTATGTATGTTTAAGTATTATATGCAAGAAAATTTATCGTTACAAAGTACTGATTCACTTTTTGATTTTGCGCCCCAAAAATGTTGCGCCTGCGTGCGTGCACGCACTGCACGCTCGCCAGGAACGGGCCTTGGCAAAGGATGTCACAAATTTCAGAAACCTGGACCTTCTATATGCTAAAATAAAAAGGTGTACATTAGAATCGTTACGAAAAAGTCAACAACAAAACAAACCATTAAAATCAGATTAGCGGTTTGACAGGAAATTAACATTTATTGTAGCCAACTTTTGACCGTTTTTTTGTCGGTGAGTGTATTTCTCTGAAAAACGTATCAGGATCGCTTCCATAAATCTAATCTAAAAATAATAAGGGTAGAAAAAGAATGTTACTACATTGCCAAAAGAAAAGTAATTTTTATATTTATGTATATGTATAAAATAAGAACTTAAATATCTAATTTTAAAATCACAAATTATAAAAATCAAGGAAAATTATATGCATAATTACTAATACCTGATATTTTATATAAAATAACTAAATAATCGGTATTTATTATTTTATTATTTATTTACAAAAAATCTTAAATACATGGGCTGTCTTTGAGTTTATTAAAAAAGTAAATCTAACAACAATAAAAAAAATCAAAACTTAACTGTTTAATGTGTTTATAGGAAACAGTATTAGGTAGTTCAATGGTTCGACCAGGTGTTCCTGGGACAAAAGGGGAACCTGGTAAACCAGGTTCAGTTGGTCCCAGAGGAGAAAGGGGTATACAAGGACAAAAAGGGGTTAAAGGTGACTCAGGACCAAAAGGTGATAGAGGTGATCGAGGTTTACCTGGTGAATCTGGTTCGGATGGTTTAAAAGGTGAGTCAGGTTTGCCTGGAGTAGATGGAATTCCGGGTATTCACGGAAGGAATGGTGAAAAAGGTGAAACTGGAAGACCTGGTCCACCTGGAAACCCAGGTATAACTTTTTCAACTGAAGAATCTGGAGATATAATACCAGCTGTGCAGGGACCTAAAGGTGATACTGGTGAAAGAGGGCCATCAGGTGAAAGGGGTTTAGATGGTGAACCGGGTATACCAGGAGTACCAGGTTCGATTGGACCACCAGGTATCATGGGTGTAAAGGGAGATGCAGGTACTGATGGAGCCATGGGGCCAGTGGGACCACCAGGAATGAAAGGAGAACCTGGAGCACCAGGAGTTGTTATTGTACCCGACGGAAGTGAACAGATTATAACAATTAAGGTATGTATATTAAACATTGTATAATTATATCATTCATATGTTTTTAACCAAAATTTATTTAATTTTTCCAGGGTGATAAAGGAGACATGGGCAAAAGAGGAAGAAGAGGTAAACCAGGTCCCAGTGGACCTATGGGACCACCAGGAAAACCAGGACCGGTTGGTGAAGTCGGACTGCCTGGATGGATGGTAAGTTAATTAAAATTTACAAGAACAAACCTATAATATCATATTTTTTTATTTGTATGCTTATAGAATGGACAAAAGGTAAATGCAAGTATTTGTTTTATTATTGAATGGATTTTTAGTGCCTTTATGAAATTATTTATCAATGTTCCCTAGAAAGTCAAGCCTTAAATGTAAAAAAGGATATAAGTACATATTTTAAATACCTTATACAATATATAATACATGTATAATATAATGTATTAATTATATAATTATATATACCTACTCCTATACTTTATACATACAGCCTGTTCAGAATAAAACCGAATATATCTATACAGGGATGATACTGTCCGTTCAGGCTAAGTTGAGCGGTCTAAGGAATGTCACCCCGTCCATCATCTCTATGTTAAGGTACAATTAAATACATGTTTTTCGGTAGCCGCTCTGTACGAACAAACGGCAAGCCCCGGCACTGATAAATCATCTTCTTGTTACCGAAATCTCGCGACGATTCGATGTTTAATTTAATTAACGGCCACATGATCCCCCACCAAAGCGCTCAACTTAGCCTGAACGCACTGTAATGTGCTCTTAGGCCGTTTAATAAATAAAGACAAATGCATTATGAGACGTGGGAGTGGTGGAGTGACGTAAGAGTAGTGGGGCAGGCCAGACCGCGCCGCGCCAGGGCTGGATGCTCCCGTGTACGAGTTTTGGTTCATGCCGCGCACTTGATGAGTAGTTGCCGTGCGAATACACGAATAATAGTAATATTATCAAAGAAAATAAAGAAATATCTGGACATACTGCGTTTTTATTAAACTTTATATTGAAGAAAGTGTTATAATATGGATAATAGATGCTTTTAGTCCTTGATAACATTTAGGGCTGTAGTTTAAGCGTTGGTGTTTTAAATTAAACTTATAGCCACTGTCCAGAAAATGTTTATAGGAAACAGAAGCGGTATTAACGTTAATATTGTCTATTCTTTTTGTGGCATTTAACCACTGTTTCCACAAATTAAAGTTTTTCGGGAATCGATTAAATTTAATGTTTTTATTTAAAGGGTTTTTCTTGGACTGGTTGTCTGAATTGCATCCAAATATGCCACACCTTATTTTTATAAATGCAAATGGTACGACACAAACTAAAACACAAACAAAACAAGTTAACGCAACACAAAAACAATAATAAAAAAACAGAACAGGTTTTAACCTAAAACACAACGCAATAACAATAATTTAAACACTGAAAAGTAATTCGAACCTTACCGAAAGCAAAAACAACAAGTTAAACAAAAAATATAGCAAGTTAACATCCAACACCATCGCAAAAACAAGAATTTTAGCAGCAGATAATTAAATAGCACGTTAAAGATTTAAAAACACTCATCAAGTGACGTGTTTAAGCCCCACCCAACATGCGCACCATCCTATCTTAAGGTGTATGTATCTTGGTGGGATTGTAAAGCAGTTAGAGGAGGGGAAGTAAAACATGTAACCTCAACTCGAGGGCTATGGCGAACGGCAGCTTTACAGTGGTGAGATGGGTCGATGGGCAAATGTTGTTTCTCAATACTTACGTGCATAATTTCAAGACAACAAAAAAATAAAAATGGGCGCCAGTGTCTTATTTAGGCCAGTTGGTAAAGTCCCTATAAGCTAGACACAAACTTAATGGGCATAAGGGCAATTAAAAAAAAGTCAAGTTAAAAAATTATTAAGTATAATAAAATTTGGTTATCACCGTTGTTAAGGTGATTTCATTTGAAAATGATTATTAGGACATTTAATATGTATTGGTGCACCCTTATATGGCCATATATGGTTTACAAAGAACCAAATTCAATATGACTAAATTTAACATGAGCAAAACTTTACCGGTGATATAAATAAAACTTTAGTTACGATGAATAAAGGTTGAAGACCAAGTTAAAATTTTCTTAATTTAAAAATACATAAAAGTTAAACGGCGTGTAGTGAACCTGTGTTTCTTGAAACATTAGCTCTGGTGGATCCTGGAGAATTAGGAATCCTACGTAGTGGTTCTCTTGTTGACTCAAAAGTTGGTTTTGACTCCAAAACAGTCAAGGAAAACTCCCATAAAAACTGTTTGAACGAATTTTCCTGATGTAAAATGGTACAGAAATGACTTTAACATCCTTGTTTAAAATCCGTACTTAAAATCCGTACTTTAAAACCATACTTAAAAACCCTAAAATAACATAAAGATGCCTCAGCATTCAGCAACTACAGTCTTCCAGACTTACCCTTGTTCTAAGGAGTTTTTAATAACCAATAACGTCACGACCGCATGGAGACTAGGTCAACAAAAAAAATATATTGGATTCAACAACCACCTAAAATGGAGAACCGCGTGGGTAAAAAAAATTAGGTTCAGCAACAAGTTAATAACTCACCCTGAGCTCATCGTACCAAACGAAAATTGTCTTGGTCGGAATTATACAATTAGATTAAGAGATTTACCACGTATTTTTGGAAATTTTCCATAATTTAAGCACAAACTTAACTCTCATCTAATCGCTTCAACGACCAAATCGAAAAGGAAAACGTAAACCTTATTAAGTGCGTAGAAGATTATTTAAACAAAAAATTACAATGTTGCCAAGATGTTGTGAATGTTGTCGATAAGTCTAAAAACAAATGAGTGCTCTGGGTTGCATACTATCAAAACCAGGTAATAAACAAATTAATAAACATAATTAAATTCTTTTGGAAAGAGGCAACTAAACAACTAAACAAATATCCTTTTTAACAATAGTTAAACTTAAAATAAATCAACTAAATGGTTCACATCTAAACCGTTCTAGATGTAAAAAAAACTAATAAAATAAAATAAATGTGTAGCTGTCAAAATGACGGTTACAAACATTGGCGGACGTTTAATTGTTTTGATTTAATCGTTTTAAAATCTAGTAATGCACGCTTATGGCAGAGGGGAAATAAGTATTTCGTTATCCTATTCGTTCAACAATGGTTGTTTGTCTCTCTTATTTATACGTTTATCTCACTTATTCGTATGTTTCATATAGCATGCATCTTTGTTTATTAAACGGCCTAAAAGCCCATTACCATCCCTGTATATATATGGGGCGTGGCCTCGCCTCCCTCCAAGACGCGTCACAGTTGCTTGTGTGATAAACGACATGACGAAAGGTCGAGCAGGTAAGGAGTTAAAAAATTAAATGATAATAATGCAAAAAATCTCATTAGCGATGCAGTCTATTTGCTTAGCTACTGTGTCGCGCGTTGGAGGGAGGCGAGGCCACGCCTCATATATATATATATATAGATATATTCGGTTTTAGTCTAAACGAGCTGTATATATATAATATATTTAGTTATTTAAAATAAGTAATTAAATTAATTTGTTAAATCTAGGATTGCCATATTAATCTCGTTCGAAATAAAGTCACCTAATAAAAAACGCTTAAAGAGAAATTGACTTGGGTTCGATTGAAATTAAATAATTACGATTGTAAAATTACTAAAAATATTGTAAGCTAAGGTAACGAGATGCACAAAATTGTACTGCGTGACGTCTGTATGTTTTGTTTTGGGATAAATTTAATAACCCTCACTTCCATGCGATAATACATCGTATCGTATCATTTATGATCATATGATTATACAATGTGGTTCTCACTTGGAATAAAATTTGTTATTCGATAAGAAAAGGTTTTTATAAAAAATGCTTAAACTTAAACCTTGTTTTTTTATTTTAAATATTATAATTATCATTTTAAATTTTTTGCCCCCACCATTTTTCTCCTACCACATTATGCACATTTATTTCATCAAAAATTGATAGTGCACAGAGTATAACGATACCCCATGAGTAGGGTTTAGTAAACATAGTTTTCAATACAGGTTAATTATTTACAGATTACAAGTATTAATTTGATATTGTGATCATATGCTTTAGTATTTTTTGTTGTGGCTTTTGCTATTTAGCTATGTAGGTTTTTTCGCTTAGTTATTGTCTCATTAATAGGTTACCTACATAGCACATGCGTATTTTCGTTAAAGCATAAATATAAACTTTAACACGTACCTACAAGAATTAATTGACGTTGATTTTAATAGAAGATTGCAACAGAGAATTGCAGATACTGCGACAAATACCCAAAGTCTTTAGAAAATCAACGTTTGGGCGGGTATTATTGGTGAGGATATGGTGGGACCTATTTTCATTGAAAATATTAACAGGGCAAGACATCTGGAAAGGCTTAGAAAACAAGTTATCCCATCTTTAGCAGAATTGTTTTAAAATAAAAAGTTTTTTAATCTGTTATTAAATTCCACCCTGTATTTAAAACTATTTTTACTAAACTCTACTTATGCGGTATCGTTGTTCTCAGAAAAATGTGCATCAGTTTTCTATTAAAACAAGTGGGGTTTTTATTTAAAATAAATGTGCATAATGTGGTGGGGGCAGACAATTTAAAATTATAATTATAGGATTTTAAATAAAAAACTAAAAAACGTGTCCGAGCCTTTTTCATAAACATGTTTTCCCATCAAATAAGGAATCTGTATAAACGTACAACGCAAAAATGGCGTTTTTTTTAAATCAGTGCATCAGTTTATTTTTCTTAAAAAATCAGAGCATTTACCACAACAAATAGAAAATCATTGCAGCAGATCAAAAGCTGTGTATTCACTGCTAAATCAGTGCATATGGCAACCCTAGTTATATCCTTTTTTAAATTTTTGGCTTGACTCCCTCGACTTCTAGGGCAACGATATTATAAAGAATTTAAAAAAATAAATTTTAATTTTATTGAAGAACTAAAAACCGAATGATTCTAAACTAACCTACTAATTAAAGTATTAAACACCGTTGAAGATTTTCCACTAGGGTGTGCCACTTTTTTTCATGTATTTTTTTTAACGCTAAAGTGGAATTACCCAGAGAGCCATATCAGGTTAAAACATGGCCAAGAATTGCCCATTACCTTTGGAAAAGTTTTGCCAATAAATGTACTATGTAGGACTGTATATTCCTATGGTATTTGTGCAATCGCGATGGCCAACAATAAATGACCAAATTGTGCCCAATAATATGCCAAAGCAGTTTGGATAAATTAGGTAGGTTACCGTTGGTTTAATTTTGGGAATGTTTGGGCATGGAAAAACGATGACAAATTTTTGATGTTTATTTGGGCAATTAGGCTTTTGAAAAATTGACCAAATATTGGTAAATATTTGGACAAATCCAAAGTATTAACAAATATTATTATTATATTTGAAAATTGGGTAAATAAAAAATTTTGTATTTATATTTTTTAATAATAAAAAAATAAAACAGTATGTTTCAATACTGGAACAGAGGTCAAAAATAAAATTAAAAAAAAAACAAATGTATAAATAAAAAATATTTAAAATAATCAAAATTGGAAAAAAATATTGTTTTTTTATGTTGAATCCCAAGCAGTGATTTAATTGTTTTTTTGCAATAAGTTTTTTTTTTATTTCGGACCCGTTGCTTCGCGTTGTTTAAGGCCACGTCAAAGGACCTCTGGAATTCTAAAGCCCCTGGAGGAGGAAATTTATCATGTTCATGTAAACTCTCTAAAAAATACTTTAAGTAACAAAATTGTCTGGGAAATAATATTAAAATATAAAACATACGGTGAATGGCTTGTACGATTTTTGTTTTGGACACTCCAACACCAGCACGTCCAGTGCGCGTTATTTTGGAAGAAACTTCATCTGAGAAGGCTTCTTTGACAATTAAATTCACGCTGCCTACGACGTCATCGTCAGCGACAAATTTAAAGTAGCTAACCTATAACATAACAATATAAAAACACAAGTCTTAAAACGTATTTTGGAAGTGAAAACCATTTTTTGATACATGTTTACAAAAAAGTGTTATTTTTCTATGAAGAATGCACTGTTTAAGTTTGGCCCCCTAATTTCAGGACACCCTGTATACCTATCTATAGATTTCTTTAAGTGCAGATGTATATACAAGAATATTCTTGGTTGAGTTTTTCTTGTTTGACGGGTCAACACAAATTGTGTTACACAATTTTTTAAATTAAATTACCTATGTTACGTTTCATTACATTACTTTAAATGCTGGCTAAATCCACCTTTATACTTGTTATAATATTATGATACAAATAGAATTACGATCAGGCTATCAAGAATTATGCTTTATTAAACATTAAGAACTTATTGTAAAATAGTTTGTGATTGGTAAGTTTATGTTATGAAGAACTTTAAAAATAAAAAAGAAATAAATTTTTTAATTCAATAAAAAAATTGCAATTACCTTGCTCACTTCTAGCACGATAGATCTTAAAACCCAATAAATCCTCTTTTTTCTTCGTGACATATAGGTAGAAAATTTATTTTTAAATTGTCCTGCTTGTAGTAAAAGCCTAGTACCCATAAACACTATTTACCTAGAAAAAGGCAGTTATTTTTCTTCACTGCAACTTCAAGATGAAAATCTGTAACAATTAACAAAAAATAAGTACATAATATAGAACTAGCAATGTAAATTTATATTACCTACTTCAAAATTAATAAGGGAATAAAATCTTCGAGAAGTAAGAAATTGTATAATAATTGAATGTTTTATTAAAAACTTTGAAAACAAACCTAACCTTAATTACTTACTCAAAATTTAAAGCCGTTTAAAACTTTACACGTTTAGTTAGTGCACAGATGATTATATTTTTTTGTAATAACTATCACACAAGCACTTTTTGACGCCTTTTTGTAGAGAAGGTCTTGAAATATTAACGCCATTGCGATTCTTTTTCCATGCTGATCAATTATTTGCCAAGTTTCGATCAATCTGAATTACAAACGCTTTGCCAATTTTCGACCAAACTTCATTACAAACGACGTTGGCCAATAATAACTCTATCTAGGACTGTATATTTGTGTAGTTGTTGTGCTATCGCATTGGAAAATAATTTGGCATAAAACATGTCAATTTTTGGTCAAACTTTATGAAAATACAATTAATATGTCCAAATAAACCCCAATAAATGTAAAATATCGTAGTCCAAACTTAGTTGGGAAAAAGTTGACTATTTTCTCTGGGTATGTGTGTTTTTACTTAAAAAGTCACCATGAGTTTTTGCTTAATCATTTTCTATCAGGAAAAATGTTACTTAAACCCTTTATCCACTTGCCCCTTCAATTGTTAAAAATAACCTACATTAAAAATAACTTATCGTTACGTAGTATTGTTGGCTATGGAACGTACCCATACTACGTAACCCAATTTTTACAAGTAAGTAAAAATTCTCATTTATAAAATGGGTTTTATTGCGTTAAAAAAAGGAAATTAAGTTGCCGCACCCTGTATAATTATGAGGCAATGTTTCTACCTAAATGCCCAGTAATGTTTGTATCTCAATCGACTATTTTTTGTATTAGGGACGAATTGGACCTTCAGGATTGCCAGGATCAAAAGGCGAAAAGGGTGATCCGGGTAATTATGGGACGGTAAGTTTTTTCTTAATTTAATTACGACGAAATTGAATGTTTTTATAAGATTTAAACCGACAATTTAAATTGAATTGCCTAATAAAGTGAACCTCATTGTTTTATACCGTTGTTTTTTACGATTTAAAATAAATTATAACATTTATTAAAAAAGTTAAAAACATAATAAAGAAAATGTTTTATAAAGTAATATATTTACCTAAGTACCTATATAAAAATTTAACCTAAATACAAATTGTATAAAATGCATAGATTAAAACTGCCCGTTAAAAATATAAATAAAAACTAAAAAAATAAATTGTTAAGGTGGGATAAATATATCTTTTGTAACTGTTATACGGACTTTTTCAAGTATTTGACACATCATTTCCTGTATATAGATATTTGTATCCGAATGTGTGGTGTTTCTATAGGGTGTATCGGTATTTATAGGACCCATAGTTGGGATTTATGGTTGTTCTATAGGAATTGATTTATTTGCTATTGGTTTCAATTTTCATAATTTTTTTTAAAACAGAAGCTCTAATGCAAAAATGATAAAGGAAAAACTTTCTTGTTTTGGCGTGTACTATCATCCCCACAAAGGATAACAATTTCTTAGATGACCACAGTGGCCCTAATGTTCAGTCTATGTGGTCTGTGGTTTTAAAGATGTCATTCAAACTTTGATAACGAACATTTTGGCCGCCCATGGGCGGATCTGCAGATCTTAGAAATACCTGTATGTGCAACGTTTGTTTAAACATTCTTATTTTTAATTTTTATCCATAGAGTCATTCCAAATAAAAACACCAAATGGGGTGCGCTGCGTGATTTTTTATTTTGATGAAAAAATTTGAGGATGATCTTTTAGGTGTCAAATATGAAAATCCGTTGCCGTTTTTATTTTTTGTTAGAAGTCTGAAATAGTGTCAATTTCTTACTCTCTTATAGTGGGCCAGAACTTTTTTTCTGTGACAAATATTGAAATAATTTTAATTTTGTTATACTGTCCAGTAAGTGTGTTTTCGATATAAATTATTTTTATCCAATTAGTTAATCTCATAAAAGAATGGTAAACCACTAAAGATTCATGATAATTTGCCAATTTTTGTGATTTTTGTCTGGCTCCTGTGCCTATTCTACTGAATTTAGAAGGTTCATTTTTTTCAGGTATAAAGTACTTAAACAATAGAAAACGTAACTATTATTTTAAGTTTCTAGACTATCAATTTCTTTATTAAAAAAATTACTTATTGAAAATTGATAATTCTCAAAATTAGCCAATTTTGCCCTCAGAAATCATTATGTTGAGGAAAAAATAAAAATCTGAAACTTTCAGGAAATGTAGTCCCCACCTTCATCTTTTCAGTCCAGTTAGTCTTGTTTTGTTATTTTTATTCCTTTAAAAGAAATATTAATTTTTTTAATGGCCGTTTAGTAGCGATATTGTTAGTTTTATTTATAATTTAAAATTTAGATGGCTTTCATGTTTGGTGGAGAAGTGTCAGAACTGTCAAAAATATTTCATAAATATTATTTGTGCGTATTTCTTTGGTAAATTTTGTATATAACTTAATATGTAATATTATGATATATAAAACTTTTTAAAATCACCAAAGGAATACCACAAATAATAATTATGAAATATTTTTGAGAGTTCTGATATTTTTGGTAGTTATGTTATATTTTATGTATTGAAAAATCATATTAAATATATATTAAATGTTAGTGTTGGAAAAAATTTACACAATCTGTAAATACTTCTTTAAATTTTAGTTTTTAGGTAACTGGTTAAAATAAAACATGTTATAATAAAGGGGTTTATTTAGAATATTTTTTGGATTTTGCTTATTTTTAACAATTTAAAACTTCTCAGAACTTAAATATTTTCTATAAGAAAGAAGTACAAAATTATGATATGTTCTTGCATTTTTAATTGCAATTAAATTAATGAATCTCGAACACTCCGTCATTTATTACACTTGCAAACTTGCAAACTTTTTAAAATCACAATTTAAATACACACAAAAAAAATTTATGAAATATTTTTGACAGCTCTGACATTTCTCTACCAAACATGAATTGACTAAGTCAAAGCCATCTAAATTTTAAATTATAAATAAAACTAACAATATCGCTACTAAACAGGCATTAAAAAAATTAATATATCTTTTAAAGGAATAAAAATAACAAAACAAGACTAACTGGACTGAAAAGATGAAGGTGGGGACTACATTTCCTGAAAGTTTCAGGTTTTTATTTTTTCCTCAACATAATGATTTCTGAGGGCAAAATTGGCTAATTTTGAGAATTATCAATTTTCAATAATTTTTTTAATAAAAAATTGATAGTCTAGAAACTTAAAATAATAGTTACGTTTTCTATTGTATAAGTACTTTATACCTGAAAAAAATGAACCTTCTAAATTCAGTAGAATAGGCACAGGAGCCAGACAAAAATCACAAAAATTGGCAAATTATCATGAATCTTTAGTGGTTTACCATTTTTTTATGAGATTAACTAATTGGATAATAATAATTTATTTCGACTATTTCCCTCGTCCTAATTTCGACCAATCACAAACGCGCAATTTTGAATTACAAATGGTTTCTAGGTGGAAAAACTGTATGACAGCACCTGTCAGCAGTTTATTCGAGTTTACCCGCGGCAAAACTTGACAGCTGTTGTCAACAAAAATTACAATTTATATTTTAATTGTTAACTGTTATTCATGAAATAGTCTTGTCAAATACCATTCGGGCATCTAATTTTTCCTGTGAAAAAAATCGAAAAAACACAATGCTAAGTAATATTTTTTAACAAAATGCATTCGTGCAGGTGCAAAAATCCTCCTCTTCGACTCGGATTTTTGTTGCCACCAGCACTCATGCTTTTTGTTAAAATATTACTTAGCAACGTGTTTTTTCGATTCTTTTCGGAAAAATTAAATGCCCTTATGATATTACTTACGAAAACACACTTACTGAACAGTAAAACAAAATTAAAATTATTTCAATATTTGTCACAGAAAAAAGTTCTGGCCCACTATAAGAGAGTAAGAAATTGACACTATTTCAGACTTCTAAGGGGTGCCAAATAAAAGTAAAGCAACAAAAAATTAAAACGGCAACGGATTTTCATATTTGACACCTAAAAGATCATCCTCAAATTTTTTCATTACAATAAAAAATCATGCAGCGCACTTTTAAATTCATTTTTGGTGTTTTCATTTGGATTGACTCCATAAATTTGTCAGTCCCAAATTTCAACTTTTAATTTGTCAATATTTTGCTTTGCGATAAGGTTAGAGCAAAAATGTATTAAGCAAAGTTGTTTAGAATCATAAGAATATCTCTACTGACTTTCATTTAAAAATTTGAAATTATTTTTATCCAAAAATTTGTCAGCCCCGAATCTCAATTTTTAATTTGGCTTCAAATTGTATCATGAATAAAAATGGACACATATTTTTAATAAACTTTTCAAAATTAACTAACAGATTACAAACACAAAATTATTTAGGTAATAGCCTCAAAATCAGTATTAAATATAGCCCCTTTCTACCAGTTCGCCGTCAATCCGCATGCATTTCTCGATTCGTTTCTTATTGTTTCTTGATACTCTTATTAACTCTCGTCCATTAGTTTCTTGGCAAGCTGGCCTAATTCTGTCACAAAGTGTTTCTTGATTTTGGGGTCTCATAATAAAAGTTCCTCATAAGTAAAAATCAAGTGGTGTTAAGTCTGGTGACCAAGCTGGCCACTCGATGATGGGACTGTTTCTCCCGATCCATTTCTGTGGAAATTGCTCGTTTAACCATGCTCGAACGATTACGCAGCCATTCCACGCTACTAAGGAATTTTTGTAGCTTCCGTTACAATCAAAAATTGTGATTAAATTAAATACTGTTACAATAGTTAATATTGCAAAAATGTTTGTTATGCTTGCAATAATTAGGCTTAAACTTATAAACATAATAATTAGGTAGTTTTACTCACAATTTTTGATTGTACAAAAATTCCCGAGTAGCGTGGAATGGCTGTACGGCATTATGAATAGGTAAGCCATCAAGTTAAAAAATCATTGTTCGCCTAACCTAGTGGTAGTTCTTTAATTATACCCCATAATTCAGTTCAAAAAATCCAAAAATCGTTCAGCGTTTAAGTTATTACGAAAAAAAAGGTCCAATGATACGATCGTTTAAAATTCCAAACCGAACATTAATTTTTTGTGTGTTTTGCCTCTTGGAATTGATAACCCTTTGTGGGTTGTCTCCTGCCCATTACCTGCAATTTTGTGATGATACAACACCATTAGTCGCTAAACTTGACTTTTTTTTTAAGAAATTTCTCTCCTCCAGGAAATTTCCCTGCGCCCTAAGCGCCTCCTATTATCACCCTATTCTAAACTAGGTAAAAATTTTGGTTTAAATGCACTTAGTTTGTGGCGATGTATGCAGCGCCAAATTTTCGATGGTATAATATTTAAATTTAATGCCATATCTCTCACACTACAACGAGGATTAGCGTGATAAGCCGCCAAAATCATTTCGTCCAAGGGATGTTCTCTAGTGGCACAATGTGTTTTCGAGAGTATAATGTTTTAATTCTAAGTGTGGGACAAAATATATTAAATTAATATCTTAAATCTTTTATTTATTCAGAAAACTTATAGTAACTTAAAAAGTAAGGGTGAAACTAAAAGAGAAACGTTTTTGTGTAAAGCATTTTGATTCCAACTTATAAAAGATTATACGAGTTTTATTTATGTATTTGTTATAAGGCATTCTGATGCATCCTGTCACAGTTAATTCAAATTGAAAAAAAATATATAAATAAAAGTTTTGGTACAAAATAATATTAATAAATATTAAAAGTATATATAATACAGGAATAATTGAGTCGCCTAGTTCCAAAACCCTCTAAATTCACCTTAACATTTTATTGAGGAAACGCGAAAGTTTGCTGCTGGTCATAAAATAAGGTTACTAGAACATAAAAATTAATAAGCAGTAGCATAATAAACATGAAAGCTTAAGTGAAAAAATTCCACTTTAATGGTTTTCTGAAAAACTTAAAAAACTTGTCGGATTTAGCCGTTTTAGAAAATTGCTTTGGTTCTGGTAGATTTTGGTTTAAAATTCACATGCTCTTTTAAATTGAATCAGTGGAATTTTCTGTCGATTGTACAGTCAAATCTGAATTTCACTGATAGAATCAGTAAATATTTAATGCATTACCATAGTGAAATAAATAAGATCAACTAGTTTAACCAGTAAAAAACCTAAAAGTTCACTGGTTTACCAGTGAACTTTTTACTCACTCGTCAAATCTGTAAAATTCCACTGATTCATTTTAAAAGAGTATGCTTTCGGAGGTTTAGAGTTTATTAGCGTAAATCAAATATAGGTTTATTATAAAAAATTAATTTTGTAGATAAAACACATTATACAACGCATTCCTGAAAGTCACATCTCGCATAGTCCTTCCTCCTCTTCATCGTCACTATTTTCATTTTCTACTGCTTCATTGACTGCAGATCTTGTTACAATTCTTTTGTTATACAAAATATTTTCTTGTTCAGCTTTTTTTGCCATTCATTTCCAAAATGCGCCAAAATGTATCCAATTGGATTTAGTGGGTTTTGCTTATGATTTTCTATGTACATGTTTAATTTCATTTGGATTTAGTAAGTTTTTGTTATTCAATGGTTTAAGCGATGTTTGAATATCACTTACATATGGATTTGGGGATTTTGAATCTAACCTTGGATTCCTACAGTGATTTAAACCCGGGTTTTAAAACTTATTTATCATCTAAAAATTAAATTTAGTTCTCCCGCATGTAGATGACATACCAAGTTCGATTTTAAGTGGGTTTTGGAACTAGGCGACTAAATAATAATTTTAATATAAAATCCCTAAATTAGATAAATAATACCATTAAAATCGATACCGAATCGTGAGAATAAGACAACTCTATTCCAAAATTTTGTATTGTAAAAAAATCAGGATCATGGAGAAAAAGGCGAAAAAGGTGATAAAGGAGACCATGGGAATGACGGTACTCCAGGTCGAGATGGACAACCTGGACCCCCAGGTCCAGCTAGTGCGTCAGATGAAGGCATACGATACGTTCCCGTACCTGGCCCCCCTGGTCCACCTGGACCACCTGGAATGCCTGGATTAAGAATAGGATCCAAAGACGAAGACAGCGGAGATAAGTATGGAGAACCCACTTACAATCTTCGTCCTGGTAAGTTATTAAAATTGTCCAAAAAATATATTTAATTTTTTTTTATAATTTTGTCGTAAAAAGAAATTTGGTAAAGGTATTTGGCCAAACGTCGCGTAATTTTTTGGGCGACAAAGCGAAGCGTTGGACCGATGTCCAAAAGAAATAATAATATTGCCGACTGTCGCTTGCTGATTAATGTTTGTTAGGTAGTTCTTTGCACAATTTAAAAAATACATTAAAATTAATATGACTTGTGGTGCGTTGTACGAAATATTACAAGAAAATATTGCAAGAAATGTAAGTCAGATATGCCATGAAAAATATTTATTTTATGTTTAAAATATTACAAGAAAAAAATGCAAGAAATGTGAGTTGGAAAACGCTTATTTTATGCTTAACAAATGTCAAATCTATTAAAATTAAGTTTTTTATAATGTTATAATCTATTTGATTTAAAGTTTTTTAAAACAATAAAAATATTGTAATGTTGTGAGTTATGTTTTGCCAGTATAAAGTTTGTTAAAAATACTATTAGATATTGTTTTGGGATTAATTTAAATAATTATGAAAGTAAACACCAACACTTTAACATTGGAATTAAAAGGGTGTATTAACCTTTTCAGTCTGGGATGCGGCGTAGTCCGTAAAACCTGACGTCGTTCCACAGCCCGGAGACGGACTTATACGCACGGCTTTCCAATGTATTAACTTAATAATAATAATTATTAATACTATTAATACTATTATTACTATTATTACTATTAAGTCCGAGAAACGATCCGATCCACTGTGATAATATAATTTAGTATGCTTTGTAAAAATATTTTTTTATTGCGATCGGATAGGTCTGGCTTTATTCTTGTTCTATTAAATTGTGTATAAAAATATTTTCCTGCATATATTGCACTATTGAATGCTCGCGCTATTACAATATTACAATATGCTACTGGAAATATTACCGTTGCGGATTTTCAGCTTTAAATTTTCAAAATTCTGAAAAAGCACTACAAAATACAACCAAGAATTAGAGATAATAGGTCTATTGATGCTGATTCTGCATTAGAGGTAAAAGAGCGACATTTTATTGGCCTTTTACCAAATAGACACAAACAATTTTCAGTCCAAAGGTTGTGCGTAAAAAAATAAAAATAAAACACTACATATTGCCGCCCCCGATATTTTGTGCCTTTGTGCGTAATGCCTCGCTCTAAAAATGAATTAGTCAAAAATGACTAATTTAATAGGTAGTTATTAGTGGCTGCTTTTTCACTTGTACCAATGAATGAGTTTTTAACATATAGTCAATTTTCTATTTAATATGGAATTGACTATTTCTCAAAATTCAGGGGATAATTTTACATAAGAATTAAATTTTGGGATACCATGGTATTCCATGGTTAAAAATAATAATAATAATAATAACAGAATTACATTCCAATTTTAGGACAAATAGGTATAACAAAAGACAACAGTATGAATTAACAGTATAAATTAACAATTGTAGTTCAAATATTATGTGATAACAATAATAAAATAATGTAAAATATTTAAAAAAATAAACATTTCATAAACAGTTTACAATTCAAAAGAAATTTTCGGCAGTACTAATAAGCGTTTTTAGAAAACAGTAATTTATATCACAAAGATGGCCAATGTCGTTGTGATTATACTGCATAACATATATAGTTAATATTAACATTATGTTTGTACGAGCTCTGGGCAAAGAAATGTTTGTGATGTTCTAGAGTTAAGTCTAGGTATAAGAAATGTTATAAAACTAAGCAGAGCCGATGCGTCCACATAGTTATGTAAAAGTAAAAGTTTGTGCAAAAATATTTGTGATGAAATAACTCTTCTTTTTTTAAGGCTGTGGTCAAACCCTTGTCGTTGATAGTTTCAAAAAACGGCGCTGAATAGATTCTATTAAATTAATCTGATTATTATAATTTGGATACCATATTAGTGATCCATACTCTAATTTCGTTCTTAACGTTACATTTGTTTATGTTTAATGAGAGTTTATTTAATAGGCACCATTCATACAGTAAACTAAGCTGATGTTGTAGTGCTAGACAGTCGCTAGAATCTTTAATGTTACTAAATATTTTTAAGTCGTCTGCATATAGTAAATGACTAATTGATAACATTTTTGAAAGATCATTAATAAAAAGAATGAACAAGAGAGGACCAAGGTTTGACCCTTGTGGAACACCCGATGTTGCAAAAAATGTTTTAGACCTAAATCCGTTGTAAGCCACATATTGAGGTCTGTTTAGCAGGTATGATTTAATTAGTTTCGTATAATTTAAGCTAAAGCCAATCTTATCTAATTTCTGCAACAACTTTGCAACACTTTGAAAAGTCGGTGTAAACCACGTCAACTTGTTCGGGGAGGATGGGCTCCGGCGGGACGCCTAGACATCTAGACCGGCCCAAAAAATTATAAAAACACCTAACGACTTATGAAAATTTCACCTCTTATAATTTCACATAAAACTTTTTATTGGTTTTTTATTAAATTTTTTTATGAAATAATAAATTTTAAATGCAAATTTTAAAAATGTAACGGGTATTTATTTTTTGTTACATAAGAATAAGAATAGTCTATCCATTTAAAAAATTCACTTTATTAAACATTTTTATAAAAAATATTTTTAGGTTATTTTTAAGTATCTTAAGTAAAAATTCTAATTAGTGCACTTGTGCACGGGCCTGGTTTATACTAGTTTGTGTTTCATAAGTAAAGATGGGATTTTAGTGTTATTACATATTTCTATTTGAAGAAAATAATTTCATTTGAGCCTGATTTTATTTTACCTAAATTTTCATTTTCAAAAGAAATGCACCTTATTTTTACATTTTACTACCTAAGCAGTGTAATTTTAAATTTTACCATCAAAAACATGCTTTTTTAATATTGGGTTGTCGTAGACAAGGGTTAGGTTGGGTGGGCGGGGGGTTAGTTAGATAGGCAACTTAGTATTAAAGTTTTGTTCCGTGACTACTGCGCCATCTAGCGGGTGTAGTCAAAAATATATATTAAAATTATGGTTTAAATTTTTTTACTGGATGGTACTGATCCTTTTTTACCTCCACTAGATAAATAATTCTAATATTTTTCTAGGAAAGTTCAAAGAGGAATAATAAAACATAATAAAACTAAATTTTTGTAATTATTTTATTTGTCAAAGTTACTAAATATAAATGCAAAAATTCAAAATACAACTTAAAATCAGTCTACATCATATGAACTTATCTAACTATTTCATTCCTATTCCTATAATAGGAATAGGAATGAAATAGTTAGATAATAATAATAATTCCTATAATATTATTGTATAAGGTAAAATAAATTTATAAATAAAATAACAAGTAAAATTTTAATACTTGGTGCTTAGAGAATCAACATATTTTTTGTTATTTTGGCAAAAAGCGGGACATACCTTATCGTTTTTTGGAAATCGATGCATCCCGATCTCCCCTTCTTTGCACTTTTTTACACAACAAGAATAAACCATAATAATGAATACACAAAACAAACTTAAAAGGTTATAAATACTTCACAAATTTAAGTTATTCTTTCAAGTCGAAACGAAATATTATGACCACTGTCATTATGACAACGGTAGTCTCGGTGGTTTTTCTATGTCTCGGTGACAAAAACAATTTTGGCGACATTAGCGCCTCTGGCAAGCGTAGTCTAAACTTCTCAGCGGACAAGTTTTTGTACAGTAAAGATGCACAACCATGATTTGGATGACATAATTCTTATGCACTATGTGGTTATTTTTGTTGTACAGGATTGGTAACCAACCACTACCAACCTACCCATGGTTGGGTGTACTGGGTAAACAGCGACGCGAATGTGGCATTCCTGTGCAATGTTGTCAGGTCTCATGCTTTTGCATGATAGTTTTTCAAATCAATCTCATGTTATCATGTTTTATTTAAAAATCTCATGTATTTTCACAAATTCTAGCAAATTTGTGCTTTTTTATGCGCTATTATTTTTAAAAACATTTCTATCACAATGAATGTGAATTTGTTATTTTCAGCAATTGTATGCTTACTCTCTTAAAATGAATTAGACAAAAATGACTAATAGTTATTAGTGGCTGCATTTTTACTTGTACCATGGTTATCCTTGGAATACCATGGTATCACAAAATTTAACAGCCAATTCTTATGTAAACTTCTCCCTTGAATCCGAAAATACCGTTAAAAATTATGAAAGTAAAGCAGTTTTTGAGATATCGTCAATTCCATATTAAATGGAAAATTGACTATATCTCAAAAACTTTTCTACTTTTTTAACTTTTGACGACATTTTCGGATTCAGGGGACAATTTTACATTAGAATTGGTTATTAAATTTTGGGATAACATGGTATCCCATGGTTAACCATAGTGCAAGTGAAAAAGCAGCCACTTATAACTATTAAATTAGTCATTTTTGCCGCCGCATTAAAAAATTATAAAATTTATATTTTTACAAGAATATATCGTCAGTTATTTTAAAAATTTTGAAAACATAAAAACCTTGTTTAATATAATTTTATACAATATTGAATTAAATTTTTTTACCACCTAAAAGTTGCTTTCCAGTACTTTTTTTCGTAAAGTACGTACCTAATTTAAAAATTTTCTCACCTAAAACAAGAAAAAACTTTACCTATTTAGGTACCTATTTTTATAAATTTGGCAACCTAAAATCCCATCTCTATTCATAAGATCATAAAAGGGTAAAAAATGAATTTTAACATAATTTTTAATAAAAGAAACATTAGTAAGAGTCGGTACATTTTTGTATGATTTTACATAATGCATTGCAATTTCACCCCTTGGTCCCCCCTGTATCCGCGCCTGCTTAGACTCTTAGATTTTTGCATAATGCTGTGTTTGTCTTAAAAAAATTAAAATAAAAACAAATATGTGAGTTAGGGGGGGCAATTGCACCCATTGGTTCCCCCTGTACCCGCGCCTGCTTAGATTTTTAGTGTTTAAAGAGAACAATTTTCA